GGCGGCAGTCGACGGGTCATCAAGCGCTGCCGCCGCAGCTCGTCGTAACTTTGGCCTAACGTAATGACTTCTGCCACAGTGCGGGGGTTCTTTGCCAAGAGCATGGTGAAGGCATCGTCGGCGATGACTTTTAGAACATGCGTGATTTTGTAAGCTTCTGACATGTTCAGGTCGACTTTCTTGCACAAGTCAAGGATGTCCTCCATATAACTTGTGAAGGACTCGCCGGTCTGCTGGGCTGATTCATGTAAACGCTGTTCAGCTTGCAGCTTACGAACGGCCGGACGGCCGAACACGTCGACGACTGTGGTTTTAGAAGCGGACCAAGTCGGGAAATCGGATGCCTGGTTGTTGTACCACATGCCGGCCACACTCGCGAGGTAGAAAAACAGGTTGCCGAGTTTACCTGCCTCGTCCCAATGATTGGGGACACTGACGCGTTCGTACATGGCCAGCCAGACCTCGACGCCCGCGCCGGTGAAGACAGGAGGGTCGCGGATGCGGGGGACACCGGGACATGGCGTCGGCGTAGGAGGAAGCGTTTGCTGAGCAGCGTCTTGGTGCATGGTTGAAGGCACGGTACAGGATCGAAGCTCCAAGGGCATCGAATTCGGACCGAAGGTGTTTGAAGGGCACAGCACTCTCCACCAAATTGTTAAGAGGTTTATTGGAGGACACTTCACGATGATTCACGACAGCGACAGTCAATGCGGGGACCCACTCTCTGCACGAGCTGTTCTTCTTATGAAAGGGAGACCCACTAGAAGGTGCTGGAGAGGACGACCCACTGTTCAAAGGCTTTATCCCAATATATATATATATATTTTGAAGCAGCTATATTTTTATTTACAGCTATATATTTTTTTACAGCAGTGTTCTAGCTCTGTAGTCGAACAGCTGCGTGCCATAAAGAATGTGTGGGTGCGATTCCTACCTAGAATGTGCATAGAACCGAATACATTTGCATCTTTCTGGATTTCACAGTCATGGACAACGCTGATTTTTCCTTCCCAACCAACGACACCGACCTTCCTGCAAAACAATCGCTTTAACGCTCTTGCGTTAAAATTTGGAGCCGGTGAGGATGCACTGAAACACCCAGTTGGACGTGAAGCGCAAACGGCAAATCGGAGCCAGTGGCCTTGAATGAGAGCATGGTGAGAGAGGTGCGTGCACTTTTCTTCTTCAGGTAGCGGAATTTCACAACAGAAGACGTGCAAGTGCCGTGCCGATTTCGTGACTTTTTCAGGCCGCCCAAGCAAGCGCAGTTTCACCTCATCAGGAATTCTTGCTCTGCGGAGACAACTAACCGCATACACCAGTAAAAGGTCACATGATGGAGATTATGTGCACCTTTGCTTTCCTTGCCCCATGAGCACAATGCCATTTTGCAAAACTTCAGTGAAATAAAAACGCACAACACTGTTTAATGATGAAAAGTATTCATACTAGCCATTATAATATACAATCTTTCTAATAGTGAGTGTATCTTAAGTTCGTGCTCTTGCAGCTGTGTCCCTTCCAGTAAGTTGATCTTAATTATATTGGATTACATTAACAAGATAGCTAAATTGGTGTTTATACAAGAATATGTACATGTCACTCAAGAAAATGAGTTGCAGCATTCATTACTTGTCTTTCATTTTGCCTTTTAGCAATTTTTTTTAGTACTACTGAATACACAGATTAAGTGGATGATTTCAGGCTTTGCCAGAGCTTAAATGGGGTCAGGGCACACTTACAGCCATCAGTGAACAGCTTTTGCTTTCCCTTCCTTTTTTTGCTGTATTGTTAAAAAGAAAAACTGGAGGACGCTTTAGCTCTGCCTTCAAGAGTAGATTGAACAGCTTTTGCTTTCCCTTCCTTTTTTCGCTGTATTGTTAAAAAGAAAAACTGGAGGACGCTTTAGCTCTGCCTTCAAGAGTAGATTGCTATAGCGTGATCTAGCCTCGTGCGCATTGCCTTCTAAAAAACCACTAACCCGCTTTGGTTGTCGTTGCATGCCTGAACCATGCCATTAGAAAATGAACTGTGTGCATAACATTTGCCGCTTCAAAGTATCATATAATGGCTTTTGGCAGCATAGTGAAGTGCCTACTACGGCATAATTATTCCGCGAATCAGCGAAGGGCACACTATGCATTCGTAGGGCAGCATGCAAACTGACTTAGCTGTTTAGTTTGTTGATGGTTTTGCAGCTGACGATGATTAAATATGTCAGAGAGCTTTGTAATGGGTGGGCCTTCAGAATACCTACTTATTGCTCAGTTCACATCTTTTGACACTTAGTGCATTCCTACGCTTCTGCCATGCAATATATCATACATGATGCATTAAGGAGATTCCTACCATCACATGACATTCATATAGTGTTTTTTTTTTTTAAGCAGCTTTAGCAAATCTCATGGTGATAGAACAATTGCTTGTCCTATAGACCAACCTGGGTTCGATTCTCACTTGAACCCAGGTTGTCTATGGGGCAAGCAATTGTTCTATCAACATGAGATTTGCTAAAACACACTTTACTCAAACCCGTAAATTTTCATTACTTCTTTGATTTACAACTTTCTCAATTTTTCAGTCATAAACAAGATGATTTATCGCTCAAAACTAATAATGCCAACCCCGAGACTAGTGCGGACACCAGTATTTTTGCGAAACAAGCTCTTTAACGTGACATCATTAGGAATAAAGATCCACGACATCACAGCCTCCAGGAACTTTTAAAACGGTACTGCTTCTTTTGTGTTTGTATCTGTTCTGGCTCCTTGTATGGTAAGAATGCCTTTTTGGGGCATTCAACAAGAATAAATTTTCAACACAGCTCAATTTCTCCCTGTGGTGTACCTCTGCAATTTCTAAGATGTTTATTCTTTCTCACTCTCAGAGGTTTTACTTCTACAGCTCCACTTGAAATGTATACAGTGACCTATTATAAAAAGAAACAGCAGCTGTTAAAGCTGCTGATTTTCCTGTTTCGAAATCAAAATAAATTAGGAGAAAAAGCTTCCTAAACTTTTTGCACATTAGTTGCAATAAAATTTTACAAGCAATTACACTCTGTTTAGGTGAATGACCTGCAAAGCTGCATGGCACACAGCACAGAGGTTACACAAATTATTGATTACATGCACAGGAAGACCCAGGAAGGTACAAAGGTTTTTTTTTTTTTTTTTTTTTTTAATACAGCCCATGTTCCTTTGAAGTTTTCCATCTAAGCAGCACGAGTCTTTTTGACTAACATGCATCACGTCGCCTGGCTCGCCACATTCAGTTTGCGTTTCATGCATAATATTGAGGAGCCATTTGAGCAGTGTGCATTGCTTTGGCTACTTTCTCCACTTTACCCACTTTAGCTGACCAGTAGCAAGTGTCAGGTTTGCCTGCACTATAAACAAAATTGCTCGGTTCGTCATCTAACTTCCAGAAAGGAATGGCTCATGAATTTTTTAATGCACTGGTGGTGAGCAGCCAGTTTCACCCAATTTCAGTGGCACATAAGTTTTTTCCAATAGACAAGACTTCTTAATGAACACAGTGACAGGACCCAGACAGAACACACACACACGCAGTGCTGACCTTCAACTGGAAAAGTTGGTTGATGATATGATCATCAACCAACTAGCCCTCCGATGCACTTGGACAATTTTCATTTCATTTTTAGTGGACAAGGGGTGGGTAGTGGGGTTCGACCTATTTCTGCATTGCTAGAAGTTTTGTTTGCAGAGTTACTGTAAGTGGACTTACGAATGGCCTAGTTATACACAGCTTCACTGTAAATTTGAAAATGGGTTTCTTGGATACAATAACTATATAAAAAATTGAGAGTGGCAGTCTGACTGCCCATTTGTAGAATTTGCATTTCAAAGCAGACGATGCATTTGGTTTCGTACATCAGTTAAATCATGTAGTGCAGTGAAAATATTTACTTCTAAGGGCTGAAGCACATTTTCACTCTTGAATTAGGTGGTACAACTACCTTGGCTTAATTATTTGTGTCACACCATGACAATGAGCATGTGTGTACGTGCAACAATTTATATTGAGCCACCTTCATTTTCGCTTTTGTATGTTTGTGGTTTATGCGGCACGCCAGTAAAGCTCAATATCCCAAAATGCATTGTTCGAAAATGCTTCAAAATTCTTGTTTTCACCGAAAGACATTCGATACTTTGAGTACAAAATACAAAGAAGGATAATAAGAACTCGGTAGGTGTTCGATATAAATATCGCCTTATACCACCAGCATGCCGGCACGAACAGCTGAAAGCTGAAACCATGGTATAGGGGGCGGAGGCCGGCGGGGATGGAGACGGCGGGAAGCATCGACGCCTTTTATTTTTCCCGCAGAACGCACGAGCAACTAACTTGAAAAACTTCACGGGCACTAGCGGACATTCGAGAGTCCCGCTAGATTACGACTGTTAAATATCTAACAAATCTCGATTATGCGCTCGTCTATAACTCGAAGACGATGACCTTCACCGCAACCAATACTGGCGATTTGGCGAAATGCACGGCACAATAATCAGAAAAATCACGCAACAACCTGCTTATCCACATCACAGAAATATCACATCCCAATAACGACAGCCGTGACGGCACTACCATCAACAGGTGGTGGGCGGCTACGCGAAAACCTCCCCCGCGGTTCTGACCCTCATCCTAACACCCACCCAGAACGACGCCGAGAGCTTAACACAAATGATTAGAAAGAACACGGCACAGTTCAAACAGAAAATACCCATTCAAGTGCTAATTATATATTCAAAATGATAAAATCTTCCCCGCGAATAAGATGACTAAGGTTTTCAAGCATTCTAAAAAGCACGAGTTACAAGCTCACATCGGTCGCTTGGAACTTGTCGCTTGGCAGCATTTTACTTGGTCACTCGACAACTTCTATACGTCACATACTCTCTGCATGCCACACGGAAGACCATCAACAGTCGAGCTAACATTTAAGGTTTCCGAGACAGCAAGCCCTACTTGTTGCTCACCTGTCCATCAATGATGGGGTTCATAACTTCAAACCGAGCATCACATGTCGAAGCGGAAGCTTGACGTTCATAACAGGGGCTTCGAACAATTTTCCACTGCGTGTAGCATCTCGGAGAAATCGCAGCCCATACGACTAACACGCCAACGAAACGAAAGCAAAGAACGCGTCACACACTGCTTAGGCTTGAAGACAGACTTGCAAGTGGGAACCTCACGCAGCGCTGGTTGGTGTCAGACGACGTTATTCCGTTGCGTGCAACGCTGGTCACCGGTCACTTACTTGACAGGTTAAGTAATTATTTTGTGGGCATTTCACCAGTGGGCATTTCATTGCAAATCATTTCACTTCAGGGAAGACTCCGAATGACCGACATCGGTTAAAAAATAGTCCAGCTACAAAGGCCCAATCTAACGAAGCGGCAACAGCGGTGCAGTTTAGGAATGTAGAGACTTCGCTGCCTGGCAAAGCTGAGTTATACGGAGAAGTCGAAGTTGACTTGGTCGACAACACGCACGCATGAACCAAGAGCGTTGGTACGGAAATCTGTAATCGGGGAGGGAGGCCCGAAAGGTGAGAGTTTCGCTTCTGGATGGATAGATGAAAAGATTAATATGGTTGTACCCTTTAAATGGGAGGCGGCTAGCGCCACCTAGTCGTAATACGTAATGAAAATTTAGATTTATTCTTTTTTCCCTTTTAAATAGTGAAAATAAAGACTAGCATTTGCAGTGAAGAATTTAATTTTTACTCTTGCCTTCACTCTGGCCCTTGGCATTCCCGTTCGAACGCACACGGAAGACCTCCTGAAGTTGGGAATCCACAACACGTTCGAAGAAATTGTCGAAGCCCAAGAGTTTGCACAGTTTGTCAGACTGTCTGGCACCCCAGCGGGTAGAGCCATACTCGGCATGCTGGGACGAAACCCCACGGTTGTCGGTCCTGACGCTGTGAAGCTGCCCAACACGGAGGACCTTTTCCTTCCTCCGTGCTGCCCAACGACGTAAGATCCAAGGTCCAGATTGCGCGGATGCCGCGCAATATGCATCCAAGCACGAAGACGAGACAGGGGTAAATCTCTGCTCGCCAGTGCCCGCTTGGACAAGGATCGAGCCTGCTTCGTCGATGCTGCTTCGTACATTCAAGAAGAAGCCTTCTCCTCAGTGGTCGTCGACTGTGATTGCAGAGTCATCAGCTGCGCTACCATCCGCACTTCTAGTTCCAGCGTTGCAGAGCAGGTTGCCATTGCTCTTGCATTGACGGACGGTGTACATGACACAATTTATTCAGACTCCAAGGCCGCTATCAAGGCCTTCCAGATGGGCATGGTGGCTCCCCAGGTCCTACAGATTATTCAAAAAGTCAAAGACCTCAAAAATCACTCATTGGTCTGGTTTCCTGCGCACCTTGGAACCATTGAGGGTGCCTCGCTCAATCCCAACGAGGAGGCGCACTCGGCTGCACGAGGTTTGACTGACCGTGTGCCGGGTAACGCGTCATCTCCTGGGCGACCTGAGCCTCTCTGCTCGTACAACGAGATATGCAAGCACCACTATCTGTCAAGAAGACTGCTGCCTCTACCACACTCCTCGCTATGCAGGGCCCAAGCTGTTACTCTCCGACTGCTACAAACGAACACTTACCCGAGCCCTGCGGCACTGCACACAATGTACCCTGAACGGTTTCCAAGCCCGGACTGCCCCCTGTGTGGTGGTTATGCAGACTTCGAGCATGTACTGTGGGGCTGCGCCTCTGCCGGTCCCCCTTTCACCCAAGAGGAAATGAAGCAACTCATTAAGGCCCAGGACCAGACCTCTCAAATCCTGGCCGTCCAGAGGGCCCGCGCGAGGGCCGTCAGGTTTAACCTGATGGTCCCCGAGTGGGCCTAGTCAGGTGACGCTGAGTTTACTCGCGTCTATTGTGGACCGAATAAAGTTGTTTCACTCACTCACTCACTCTTGCCTTGATTGTAGCCACCAATCAGATAACCTCTTTCTAGTTATTTCTTCCCGCCAATTTTGCCCTCCCTGTCCCTGAACACCAGTATTTAGAAAAACTCTGCGCCATCATCCTGAACCAAATGGTAGTGTATAGGTGTTCTGTTCCTGAACTATAGGGTGAAGCCCTTTACAGAACATTATCAGGTGATAGGCAGTTTTCTCCTCCTCTACACAGGCACAGCATAGCCTGCTTCCTAACGGGCTGCAGAAATTAAGTGCCTTTTTCCTCTTCTAACCACAGAACACCTACCAGTTATCACTACCACCACCACCCTTCGTAATTGGCCTGATAAATCTTGGTTCGTAATACTCCCGTCCTGACCTCAAACAGTAGAGAACAGTAGAGTATTAAAGACGATAGTTTTTCTTGGGAACCTTCGACACAAAAACTTTGCTCAGTCGGTTTGTCTATCCTTAACGCGAACCGGGTACTTTAAACAGCACCAGCCGATACTCCGAACGGCCGACCCCATCAGCAGCGCCCACCAATTCAAAATTCAGCGTTCATACTTGTGCGATTGTCAAATAAAAATCAATTATTGCGCATATCTGAGGCACCATAACAACACTAATATATCATACATGTGCGTCTTTTACTAGAAAAGGCATACATAAGTAATTCTAAGGACCGTAGCATTCATCACGCTGCGCTGACCATGCAACGCTTGCACAAAGAAGTGAGTGTTTCCAATGCTTTGCTAAGACGACACGGTGGTGGTACCTACCTGTCGCCTTGCGTTCTACACCTTATCACCTCTGAGATGGACGCGCACGTCTGTCTCAAGACCCCGTGCTTCGTTTTCGAAAAAAAAAAAAAAAAAAACTGCTAGACGGCGCTCATGTCTCGCGTTAGAGTTACTGTATATGCTACCTCTAGGTATATGCTACTTAAAGGTAGCATATACAGTAATTCTAACGCGTGACGTGACTTGATGCACTCTTCGCCTCCGCTGCACGCTCGAGGCACTCTAACGCAGCGTCTCCGGAATACCATTCACCGATTTTCTTGCGCAGAACATCAAATAAATGTTTTGTTCACTCTCTCCACACGCAAGACTATCGTCTTTCGACGACATATGCAGATTACATACAGATACCGGGCCAATTTTTATCATAGATTCTTTCCTTGGCAATTTCCTGCTTAAAAGTTCAATAGATCTCTAGTGCGTACTTCTTAATCATATGCCAATTCTCCACATGTTGGTCTCCGTTTCCTTCATCTTCTCAACCGATAGTTCTTTTTGGTTTCGCCCCCTGCTCTTTTCTAAGTTTTTACCCGTCAATTTTCTGGTTTGCTTCGTCCATTTTGTATAGACATTCCTCATGCACAAGTAACAGAAAACCTTCCTAGCCCAATGCTCCTTCCCCATTTCTCTCAATCGCTTCCCAAATTTTATCTTGCTGCTAGCTTCCCTGCCCTCTAATGGTGTCCATCCCGTATCACCATGTGCTCCCTGATTTGGTGTATTCCTGTGAGCTCCTAAAGCAAGCCTACCTATTCCACATTGCTCAATTTATAGTCTTGCTTGAACCTCTGATCTCATGCACAAGACCACATTGCCGAAAGTCAGACCAGGAACTATGACACCTTTCAAAATTCCTCTCAGAACATCATACCTATTGTAATTCCACAGTGCCCTATTTTTCATCACCACTGCATTCCTGTTTCTTTTAGTCGTTACGTATATTTCGTGTTCCCTTAGGTACTCGGTCCCATTGTTTATTTATACACCCAGATATTTGTATTTATTTGTTATCATTAGAGTGACCTCCTGTATTGTAAGCTCACTACCTTCATTATCAATAAAAATCATGACTGCTGATTTTTTTCTTACTGAATCTCAAATCGTAACTTATCTCCCTCATTACCGCAGATGTCCATCAATCTGCAAATATTCCTTGTTGGCCATTAGCACTATATCATCTGCGAACATCAATGATGGTAGTGCCTGTTCAATGAGTTTTCCTTGTTTGATGAAAGAGCGGTTGAAGCTAAGTCCACTCCCCTATAATTTAGCCTCTAATCCTTGTAGGTACATCATGAATAACAAGGGTGACAGAGGACACCCCTGCCTAAGCCCCAGCTTTATCTCTGTGGGCTCGAATACCTGTTTTTCCCATTTTATAACTACCTTGTTACTTTTATAGATATCCTTCAAGAGCTTAGTGACTCCATCCTACACACCTTGCGTGTCCAGTATTCTCCACAAGTCTTCTTGAACCACGCTATCGTACGCTCTCTTTATATCCAAAAATCCTAGCCACAGCGTCATGTGTTCTTTTTCTGTTATTTCGATGCGCTGCATCAGTGAGAACAGATTGTCTTCCAACCTCCTTAGTTTCCGAAACCTATTTTGCAGTTCCCCCATCACCCCCTAATCCTCTATGCATGTCTGAAGTCTTTCCTTTATAATCTGCATCACCAGCCTGTAAACCACTGATGTCACCCTCCCTGGTGACCAACAGGATGTATGTACTTAGAAATGGAAGCAATCTTGAACAGTCTACCATGCATTGAGTCACTTATACGCTGTTCTGGTGGCCTAGTCTCCAAAGAAGGGCTCTTCCTGTCATGGTATGTTGTAGTCTTGCCATTTGAGAGGGGAGCTACAGCTACGCGTGTCCACCACAGCCATTTGTTATGCCAAGGTCTTGTAGCATCATAGTTGTTACGCTTGTTGGTAGACCCAGTGTTGTCTATTAGTTTTCTTGAGGATCGCCTCAAACTTATTCCCTTCCTCTTTGCTAGTGCCATAAATCACAGGGGAGTCAGGGGGGGGGGGGGGGGGAGGGTCCCAAGCTTGCTTTAGTTAAGGCTGGGGATGATACCCCTTGCAAATGTCCTCCAGAACAGAACAGACGGCACCGCGGGCCGCCTGCGGTAGGCCAACGTGGTGAGTGAAGCGTTGGCGACGCCGCCTTTTCTGTGGTTGTCGTGTTATTGAGTAACGATGTCCTAGTGTGTTAATTGCAGTTGATGTATCGATTTGGCAGATGATATCGTCGTCTAAATTAGTTAAATAAATGTGTGTGTACGTTGTTTGGTTTGTACCGACCGTGTCAACGGTGTCCTTTCATTCCAAGAGCGTGGCATGGCGCTTGCTCGCCAATTCGAGACCCCACAATATATATTGGTGACAAATGGAGCTGAAGTTAAAAAAAAAAAAAACTGCATCTTTATGCATTATAATGAAAAATGGCTAGCACTTTCATTTGATGGTTGAATCCGTATGACATCTCACATATTGTTACGTGCTACAAAAGGTCTTCGACCCTAAAGAACTGAGCCAGCGGGGAGACACACAGAAAACTGACAAGATGGCTGACTCAAACAACTAGCTAGAGCGCGCACTGCCCCACAACATCTTCTTCCATTCTAGCGGCCAGCCATGGCTTGCGCTCACCAAGCCTAGTGGCCAAGTGGAAATATATATATTTTAGAACCTATCTAAAAACACTTAGAAAATAACGCTACGCAAAGAACACTTATACGCTCAGTGCAATTTTCCCTAACCCAGCACTAATTCCCATTTAGCCTATTAAAATAAAAATTTTATATCAATGCATGATTT